CCACCCCCCCCCCCCCCCCTTTCCCGTCACCGCCTCCGGGGCACCCCCTGAAAATCGCCCCATGACCCCCCCCCCCCCCTCCCCCCCTTCCCCCCCGCCCCGCCGCCGCCTCTCCCTTCCCCAGGCGCGCCCGCGGCGACGCTGCGAACCATCTTCGGCAACGTCCAGGTCCTGCTGAACCTCTCCCGCATGATGCTGTCAGAGCTCTCTCGCGCAGTGGCGGAGCCGGCAGTGCCGCCGGCGGTGGCGTGCGCGCAGGTACTGCTCGCAATGGTCCCGGCTTTCGGCGTCTACCGGCAGTACGTGGGCGGCAGGAGCGCCTCGGCCGCGGCGCTGCAGGCCCTGCGGCAGGAGGGGGGTCCTACGGTGCCCCTCCTAGAAGCGGACTACGGTTCTTGCAGTCCACCTAGCGCTCGAGAGGACACGTCTTCCGCTGTACTCGGCGGCGTTCCGCTGTACTCACTGCACCCTTGCCCCTCGTATTCACGCGGTGCCCTGGAGACTCTGCACAGTGCCGAAGTCCGGCGCTGAGGGTCGGTGTATGCACGACGCCCATACACTTGGAATCGATCTGCGTTCCGGCACGGAGGTTTCCCATTCACCCCTCCCGGTGTGAGCAGGCCTCCCTCCTCGAGGAGCTCGAGCGGGTCGGCTCGGCGGAGCTGGCCGGCGGCACTTTGCCCGCGAGAGCGGTCGTTGCCGAAGGCGGCAGGGCAGCCGCGGCTCTCCTCGGTACGCTGCTTGACGAGCCGGTGCGGCGCATCTCCTGCTACGCAGCGAGCATGCGGGCGCCGCTCGAGAAGTTGCACGGGCGCGAACAAGGGGTCTGGGCGGCGTAGGTGGACGTGCTGCTTTCCCTTTCCGCTGAATAGGCGCTGCTCGAGGCGTCGTGCGAGGCGTGCCCACCGGGCGAGGAGGCCTCCGCTGCAGCAGACGAGCCTAGAAGCGGAAGACGTGTGTCATGTTCACTCCATCTAGCGCTCGAGAGGACACGGACTCCGCTGTATTCGGCCGTCTTCTCCTTGTATTCGTAGCCCGTGTATTCACGCGGTGCTCTGACGACTCTGCACGAGACCGCCTTCCCGCCCCGAGGTTTTTGGTGTATTCACACTGCAGGCAGACGAGTGCGGCGAGCTGGTCTCGCACCTCGAGGCTTTGCTCGACGAGCAACGCGCGCGCGACCGCGTCTCGCACCTCGCGCGCGAGCTGCCCCCCGCGTCGCTCCGCGCGGCTCTCCCCGAGGGGCTGGCGTTGCCGCACCGTCGCTTTCTGCGCGAGGGCGAGTTGCGGCAGTCCGAAGCTTCGGCCGAGGGCGCCGCATGGCAGAGGCGGCGCGCGCACCTCTTCAACGACATCTTGCTGCTGGTGGAGGGCGGCGAGGCGCCCCGCGAGGCCTTGGGGGGCGAGGGCGGCGTCGCCAGCGTGGAGTGCATCGGGTTGGCCAAGGCGCGCGGCGGGGCCGACGGGTGCGGCAGGTGGGCGGAGGACGTGACCGTCACGCGCACAGACTGTGTGAGCAGGTGCAAGTCAAGGTGCTGGCCGACTTAGACGAGCCCGCGTCCGAGCCGCGGTCGGAAGGAGGCGGCTACCCGTTCGAGCTGTCGCGCGTGGACGGGAAGCGCTCGTGGCGGCTCAGCGCGGGCAGCGCCGAGGAGCGTGCCCCTAGACGCGCGGAATACGTGTTCTTGGATTCCAACTAGCGGTCTCTCTTCGACTGCATTCGACCGCATTCGACCGCATTCGTATCCCTCGTGCTCACGCGGCGCTCTGAATCCTCTCCACAATACCGTCTTCCCGCCCTGATGCTGGCGTTTATATACCGTAGGAGCGTGCTGCATGGGTCGAGTCGATCAAGCGGCAGATCCGGTTCTTGCTGGCCGCCTTCAAGCAGCGCGGCAAGTCGATCGCCTTTCTGCCGCAGCAGGTCGAGAAGCTCCGCGCGGAGCTGGGTGCGCTGCACACGGCGCGCCGCCGCGCAGAGGCGGAGGTGCTGCTCCTTACGAGCGAGGTGTGCGCCCTCGACAGCCAATTGCAGGCCGCGCGAGGCCGCCCGCCCTCCCGCTCGCGCGTGCAACCACTTCTCACGGAGCACCTGAGTGGACAGGCCGACCGGCGCGACCTCTCCCGCGCCTCGTTCCGCACGCGTCGACTCTCTGTCGTGGCGGCGCCGGGTGGCGCGAATGGGCCGTCGGCGGCGCAGGTCGGCCGGCCTCTTTACATGGGACAGCGTGTCCCTTCACGTTGCACTCGCGGACTCCTCACACGGATATGCGTGAGTAGCCTCTCCACACCTCTCCACGCACTTCCGTCTTATCGATCTCTTTGCAGGTCTCCACGCTGCGCCGGCGCGTCAGCCGCGGGTCGGACGAGCGCGCCCAGCTGCAGTGCGTGGCGGACGGGCGCGTCGAGGAGAGAGCTTCCACGCGCTCTCCCTCTACCTCGGCTGCACCTCGGCCACACCTCTGTGGTATCTCGGCTGCAGGAGCTGCTGCGCACGCTCGCGGCGCTGGAGAAGACGGAGGGCGACCTGAACGACGATTCGCTGATGAAGGAGATGCTCTTTAGCTCCTCGTAGTGCGACAGAGCCGGGGCAAAGGTGGGCTCGCGCGCTTTCGGATTGATCGCTGCCTCGCGCAAGCAAGTCGGAGGATGCGGCTGGTGAGCTTGGAAAGCCGCTTATATATCAACGGCGTTCGGGGTGGGCACCGCTCGTGGCGCTCTCGAGGTGGCGCTCTACGGGGTGTGGACCCTGAGTTGACCAGGGGTTGTGCGCTGGGCCCTCCTGCTCGGCTCCAGCCAGTAGACAAGTCTTGTCATCAACAGAGGAGAAGGATCTGACCTCGGGGCCGATGTGACCAAGCGCTGGTAGCGTGGTTTAACCTCACACCCATGGTCTCACAGTGTGCCGGCAGTCGCCGAGCAGTGTCGCTCACACAAGCCGCAGCACAAGTGACTGAGGGCCAGTGAGGGCGAGCCCATCGCTGTCACAGCTGTGGCAGCCGCACAGTAGGCTGTGCCAACTGTGCAGAGCGTGTGAGCAGCAGAGGAGCTGCTCTCCAGGCTTCTGTCGCAAAGAGCTGCATGCCACCGAAAGCGCTGTCGAGGTTCGCCGAGCGCGGCGCAGGTTGAGGGAAGCCGCCACCGACGAGCGCGTTGGACTTTTCACTCCGGACAAAGACGGGTAGACGCACACGAGCCGCGGTCGTCTACCCGTCATAGTGGCGAGGCGCGGGACCGTCTGTGGCGAAGTGGGTCGCGTCCTCCGATTTCCTCAACTCACGGTCCGCTCCCTCTACACTAGAGCCGTCTCTTCTCTGGCGCGACACGCGACACCGTGCGCGTGCCCATCATGTGATTGTGTGATCTTGCGCGCGGTTCGATCTTCGAATATATGATGTAGTGAAGGCGTATATTACAATTAAAGAGCAGCTGCTGTCTAATGTGGCTCCACCCCCGCCGCCACCCCCGGCCCCGCCGCCTCCGTCGCGCCTCGGGGCCTCACCCTCAGGCTCCCAGCCCCGCCGCCCGGCTGGGCGCCCTGCCGAGTGCCGTCACCTCCAGAGGCGCACCACGCTCGCCGCGGCCGACAGGCTGAGTACAGGCCGCTTCCCCCGCCCGGAGTGCCTCCGTGGCGCAGGCGCACCCTAGAGTTTTTTTTGCTACGTAGGAAGGAGGGAAGGTGCACCTCACACGGTCTATTGCAGAGACATGGACATGGACATGGACATGGACATGGAGGGCCCACAGCACACACATCAAGAATACATGTGCTGCACTGGACATCAGAGGGCCAAGGGTTGGATCAAGCAGTGGGAAGGGACTCGAGGTGACGCGCGAGCAGAGACCTACATACACCTCCACGCGCTCCGCACCGCCGCGCCGATCTTCGCGCGGGTGGCGCGCATGCGCACCCAGGCCGCTCGCGCGCCGTCGCGCAGAGTCGCGCGTTGCTGACGCAAGAGGCCGTGGGCGAGCTGCTCTCACTTGATCACAGGAGCAGCTGTAGGTGCTGCAGCCTTGTGCTGCCGGAAGTTCTCGAGCCGGCGCGCGCGGCTGGCCTTGCCGCCGCGCGCACGCCGCTTTGGCGCCGCGGGAGCGATCTTGTTGCTCACCGTCAGCACGCCGCACGCCTCCTCAGAGGCCTTGCCCACCTCTCCAGATGTTGCGAGGACGCCACCCGGCATGGCCGGTCCTGTCGTGGCGTGGAGCCTTGATGACGCTGCGACCGCGTGCAAGCACGAGCCCAGGATCGTGCGTGAGCACGCTCGCAAGGCGGACGGTATGGCAAGGCCAGCCCCGTGGCCGTGGGCTCAGCGAAGAGTACAGCCACCCATTCAAGAGCCAAGCACAGGTTATTTACTACGTCCGGCGGAAAATTATTTTTTACACGGCACGGAGACCCGCGCTGTGAGCATCTCAGCCTCTCATAGACCATCGCACAGCGCAATGAAAACAAGGCCGACCCTCACAGCTCACAGCTCACGGGTCTGTGAACGTATCACCCATCTGTGAAACCAAGAGAATCATAGGGGGGGACGACACTGCTTCGGCAGCGTGCACCTCGATCCTGTACCGTGTTTGTTATGACCCCCCCCAATGAACACACCAGTGAGGGAGGGCGAGACGATCGAGGGGTCCCGTACCATGCGGAATCGACCCTATCCAGTGCTCAAGTGCTCAAGAGAATCATCCACAACTTCGCCAAAGAGGTCGGCAGCCCGAGCGCCGTCGACCGCACCGACTACGGGTACGGCACAGCCTCCGGCAGCGCCCGGGGCTTCGTCGTCAGCACCACTCGCAACAGCTCTCGCGCGCCGCCGTCTGTGGCGACGCGCAGAACATCAACAACGCTGCTCGCAACATGCGTGTCGCGCACTCATTCATGACCGGTCTCAATGCCCCACCCCCCTGCGCGCGGGCCTTCTAGGCCCGCGGGTAGTCTCCACCCATCCCCAGGGCCTCCAGGGCTCGCACCTCAACCTCTCACAGACCAGCGCATAGCGCCATAGGACGTATTTTCTTCTCATAACAAGGCCACCGGAGCCGCCTATTGCTACTCCTGCGAGGAAGGCGAGGCACTTAGGTCCGTGACCGAAACACAAACATCGACGACACGCAATCTCAGGAATGCTGCTGCCCCTGCCCCTTCGCCGTCGGGGGGTTGATGGAAAAGATCAGCGAGACCTCGAGAGAGTAGTGCCGAAGGCGCTCTATTTGATCGAGCCCAAATCAGTATTTGTCAGAGCTGCAATCAACGAACCCCCCTCGCGCTCAGGTTTTTGTGTTCGTGAGTCCAGGTTTTTCATGCATCTTCCGCTCCCTCTCGCGCTCGCCCCGCCGCACCACGCCACCAATGGGCGCCGCGAGCTGCACGCCCAGTACCCCCGCGACGCCTGCTGCTCGCGACACCCGCCGCTCCCGCACCGCTCCCGCCATACGACGCTCGCCTCCCCGACCCCCTGCTCCTCCTAGCCTCGCACCGGCTCCGCTCGCTGCTGCGGCCGTTGCCATCGTGGAGCCGCGAGACGCGCCCACTGCGGCCCCTTCCCCACCCTTGCCCCGCACGAGCCCGCACCATGCGCATCCCATTTTGGCTCTGACGCTCGCGAGCCGTCGCCCGCGCGCTCGCAGATCCAAAACAACGTGGGCGAAGGGGATCGCCGCGGCCTCTTGCGTGCTGGGCCTCAAGCTGCGTCCGCTGTGAGTAGGTGCGGCCCTCTTGACCCCCCTTCCCCCCGAGCCCCCCTTTCTCTTCCCTCTTGATGGCCCGGCGAGTGCTGCAATCAGAGAGAGCACTCTTGCAATCAGCGAGGGAGATTACCCGGGATATCTTCCCCCGATCCTTCCCTCGCAGGTGCATCGACGCTGCTCGTGAGCGCCTGCGCCCCTCCACTCGTAGCATACACCTCTCCACCGACAGTACAAACACACACACACCCCCGTCGTGGCGGAGCGGTCGTCGGAGGCGCCGAGAGCATGTACCGCGACGCGATCCGGCACGTCGCCGCGATGATGATCATCACCATCGTCATCATCGTCATCATCGTCACCACCACCACCACCAGCAGCAGCAGCATCAGCATCAGCATCACGTACATCAACAACATGCTGCTCTTGTGCCTCCGGACACGCCGTTCGGCCCTCTGCGAGCAAAGCTCTAGCTGTCTGCAGGCCGCCCTCCCCACCCCTCCCCAATCTTGCTGCACCTCCCCCGTCCTGGCCGGCCGACACTCGAAAGCGCCTGCTCAGCATCGGGCCGTGCGCGAGCCCGCCCCCCTCCCCGGTCGTCTTCCGCCTCCCTTCCCGCCTGCCTCCACACATCTCCGGCCCGATGCCCGTTGAGGCCTGACTTGATCTTTGCCGGGCACAGGCGATCGCCATCCCCCCCTCCCTCCCTTGCCGCCCCCCTTCAAGCCTTCTGCCCTTCGGCTACCTTCACCCCCCACAGCCCACACACACACACACAACCCTGGTCATCACCAGGGACCCGGTGCTGCGCGTCTCCTCCTGCATCCTCTCCGTCCTCCTCCTCGCCGTCTCCGTCATCGACAAGAAGACTGCTTGGTACGAGTCCCTCATCACCATCATCACCATCGTCATCATCGTCATCATCGTCATCGTCACCACCACCACCAGCAGCATCAGCATCAGCATCACGTACATCATCAACATGCTGCTCTTGTGCCTCCGGACACGCCGTTCGGCCCTCTGCGAGCAAAGCTCTAGCTGTCTGCAGGCCGCCCTCCCCACCCCTCCCCAATCTTGCTGCACCTCCCCCGTCCTGGCCGGCCGACACGCGAAAGCGCCTGCTCAGCATCGGGCCGTGCGCGAGCCCTTCCCGCCTGCCTCCACACATCTCCGGCCCGATGCCCGTTGAGGCCTGACTTGATCTTTGCCGGGCACAGGCGATCGCCATCCCCCCCTCCCTCCCTTGCCGCCCCCCTTCAAGCCTTCTGCCCTTCGGCTACCTTCACCCCCCACAGCCCACACACACACACACAACCCTGGTCATCACCAGGGACCCGGTGCTGCGCGTCTCCTCCTGCATCCTCTCCGTCCTCCTCCTCGCCGTCTCCGTCATCGACAAGAAGACTGCTTGGTACGAGTCCCTCATCACCATCATCACCATCGTCATCATCGTCATCATCGTCATCGTCACCATCGTCATCATCGTCATCGTCACCACCACCACCAGCAGCATCAGCATCAGCATCACGTACAACATCAACATGCTGCTCTTGTGCCTCCGGACACGCCGTTCGGCCCTCTGCGAGCAAAGCTCTAGCTGTCTGCAGGCCGCCCTCCCCACCCCTCCCCAATCTTGCTGCACCTCCCCCGTCCTGGCCGGCCGACACGCGAAAGCGCCTGCTCAGCATCGGGCCGTGCGCGAGCCCTTCCCGCCTGCCTCCACACATCTCCGGCCCGATGCCCGTTGAGGCCTGACTTGATCTTTGCCGGGCACAGGCGATCGCCATCCCCCCCTCCCTCCCTTGCCGCCCCCCTTCAAGCCTTCTGCCCTTCGGCTACCTTCACCCCCCACAGCCCACACACACACACACAACCCTGGTCATCACCAGGGACCCGGTGCTGCGCGTCTCCTCCTGCATCCTCTCCGTCCTCCTCCTCGCCGTCTCCGTCATCGACAAGAAGACTGCTTGGTACGAGTCCCTCATCACTATCATCACCATCGTCATCATCGTCATCATCGTCATCGTCACCACCACCAGCAGCAGCATCAGCATCAGCATCACGTACATCATCAACATGCTGCTCTTGTGCCTCCGGACACGCCGTTCGGCCCTCTGCGAGCAAAGCTCTAGCTGTCTGCAGGCCGCCCTCCCCACCCCTCCCCAATCTTGCTGCACCTCCCCCGTCCCGGCCGGCCGACACGCGAAAGCGCCTGCTCAGCACCGGGCCGTGCGCGAGCCCTTCCCGCCTGCCTCCACACATCTCCGGCCCGATGCCCGTTGAGGCCTGACTTGATCTTTGCCGGGCACAGGCGATCGCCATCCCCCCCTCCCTCCCTTGCCGCCCCCCTTCAAGCCTTCTGCCCTTCGGCTACCTTCACCCCCCACAGCCCACACACACACACACAACCCTGGTCATCACCAGGGACCCGGTGCTGCGCGTCTCCTCCTGCATCCTCTCCGTCCTCCTCCTCGCCGTCTCCGTCATCGACAAGAAGACTGCTTGGTACGAGTCCCTCATCACCATCATCACCATCGTCATCATCGTCATCATCGTCATCGTCATCATCGTCATCATCGTCATCGTCACCACCACCACCAGCAGCATCAGCATCAGCATCACGTACATCAACATGCTGCTCTTGTGCCTCCGGACACGCCGTTCGGCCCTCTGCGAGCAAAGCTCTAGCTGTCTGCAGGCCGCCCTCCCCACCCCTCCCCAATCTTGCTGCACCTCCCCCGTCCTGGCCGGCCGACACGCGAAAGCGCCTGCTCAGCATCGGGCCGTGCACGAGCCCCCCCCCCCTCCCCCCGATCGTCTGCCGCCTCCCTTCCCGCCTGCCTCCACACATCTCCGGCCCGATGCCCGTTGAGGCCTGACTTGATCTTTGCCGGGCACAGGCGATCGCCATCCCCCCCTCCCTCCCTTGCCGCCCCCCTTCAAGCCTTCTGCCCTTCGGCTACCTTCACCCCCCACAGCCCACACACACACACACAACCCTGGTCATCACCAGGGACCCGGTGCTGCGCGTCTCCTCCTGCATCCTCTCCGTCCTCCTCCTCGCCGTCTCCGTCATCGACAAGAAGACTGCTTGGTACGAGTCCCTCATCACCATCATCACCATCGTCATCATCGTCATCATCGTCATCGTCACCACCACCACCAGCAGCATCAGCATCAGCATCACGTACATCATCAACATGCTGCTCTTGTGCCTCCGGACACGCCGTTCGGCCCTCTGCGAGCAAAGCTCTAGCTGTCTGCAGGCCGCCCTCCCCACCCCTCCCCAATCTTGCTGCACCTCCCCCGTCCCGGCCGGCCGACACGCGAAAGCGCCTGCTAGGCAATGAACGACGCGTCGCCGTGCGTGCCTGACTACTGCGGCCAGGCAATGAACGACGCGTCGCCGTGGGCCAGGCTATGAACGACGATTCGCCCGCCGCCGCTTCGTTGCTGCCACTTCCGGCCCACCGCCGCCGTTGTGCCGCCGCCTCCGCCGCGCAACGTGCCGCCGCAGCCTTCACCGCCGCCACCGATGCATTCGCCGCCCTGTGCCGTCGACACTGCCGCCGCCGCAGATGCAGGGTTCTATTAGCCACACA